CCTGTTTATTTTACAGATTAGTCATTTGCATATAAATCTGTCAGACACAAGGTCACACAGCCACTGAAAAAAAATCATTGATTTTGGTGTTTTCATCTGCCGATTTTATCCAATTATAGCTATCCCATTCCTTTATTTTTTGGTTTCCAATAGCCTTACACATTTGGATGCCCCTACACATGTTAAAACTGACCTTGATGGAAAAACAAATTGATTGTGCCGATAAACAAGCTTGAAAATCTTTGCTGTTACTTCATGGACGTTTTCTAGGAGTTTATGTTTTTCAAAATACAAGGTCTTTAACAAAAAATAACGCATACTTATTGTCGTCGGATTAACACAAAAATTTCAAAGATTTAAGGTGACAGTGAGAGGAACTTGAATGTGTCCAGACAAACTATTTCATCGATTATTTACCAACGAGTTGTGGTTTGAGTTGGAGGCAATGCGACTAAAACAGAAATTAACTAGGAAAAGTGAAAAAAATAATTCTTATCGCCAGCATAAATGCGTAATTATTTTTTTTTACAGAAAAAGTAATTTTTTTCACCTTTGATTGAGTAACGTGTTGTAGAATGCAGATACGGATTGTCGAGAAACTTACACTTGCGCGACTTTTGGCCACGATTTTGTCGTGGCAAGTCGAACTGGGAGGCTCCCGCACTGTGCACGACTAATTCACGAATAGTTCACGAATGCGTGCCCATCATCGTCCACATTGACATTAATATTTTATCATTCATTGACAGTCCTTTATTGACAACTACCTGGTTACCAACATTTTTATAATTCTTGCTTTACTTCACAAACACCATTCCATAATAATATCCCATATTTTAGGGTCCCTAAAACGTTCTAATAAGAGTTCCATCTTATCTCACGACGCCGTGGGCCCAGAACTAGTTTCTGTGGACACATTCAACAATGGGTAGGTGAAAAGTCAAAACTGTGTTTAGTTTTCACACCTGCATACACCCGTGACCATCATATATATTAACAACCTTCCTTCTCCCAATCAAAATTAATGTAATGATTTACAGATTTATTGTGTTATCTTTGGAAATCCCAAACTTCAGTGAAATAAATTCGTAATGCCGTTTCCGGTGGTACGATGTCCTTAAATGCAATTTATTGGTGTTCGAATATGAGGTGGGGAGCCTAAAAGATTGCCAGGTTTACTCAGCCTTTTATCGAAGCCGAACTATGGTTGTTAACGATTTGTACAATCGCCGCCGACGAACAAATCGAGGGGTGGTAATTCAGTCATTAACTCATAGACCTAAAAATAAATTTGTAGCATTTGTCTTTGATGAATACCGCAGTTGCCTGTCCCGGTATTTCAAAGTCTATGCATCAACTGTTTTTGCAAAAAAATACGAAGACGATAGAGGGCGTGATTTCGACCCGATGCGGCCAGGGCCATGTCAGGGTCACGTCTAATCGGAGCCCAATCCCGAGACAGCTCGAGTCAAACGTTGGGTTCCGATAAAATGCTGTCGTGTAAGCGAGGCAATAGTTGCGTTCGCGCACAGCTCCTTAGCACGGGACATAAACCTTAGAAATAGTTCTCTTGGCTAGACCATGGAGGTAAAAAATGGCTCAATGGCTCTGTTAGTACTTTCCATGGCTAGACCATGGAGGTATAATATCTGTTTATACCTCCATGGCTAGACTAAGTCCTAGTTTGTTTGATTACAAGATTACAGTTTATTTATTGACACATGACTGACTTTGGAAAGTACAGCAGTAAGAACAAAAAAAGTACAAGATAGTAAAAAATAATTAACAGTTCAAGATAAAAAGTGGACACAAATTACAAAGTTATATTAAATTACAAAATTCATCGACAATCAAACATACAAAAATACATAATATTATATCTATAATTAAACTCCCACCATGTGTGTTCCGCAAAGACTCATAGAAATAAACCATAGACCCTCCAGTACTGGAGGGTCTATAAATAAACTGACTATGGACTGACAAGTTATTTATTCACTTTCTCGGTTGTTTATAATTTGGACTAGACATTGTAAGATGGAATTTAATATAAACAAGAAACATAATATTTGTGACTGCCGTGTGCAAAGTACACAATGGAAGTCTGCAGTTACGTAGTGCGTCTGTTAGTGTGTGTTATGTACTACTGCTGTTTCAAGATCCCCTCATTGGATTTTGATGAAACCTGGTACATAGATGCTGTGGAATAATGTACAGATTTGATTTGTTTTGAGTAAAAAACCATGCATATCAATTACCTAATTTGCATAATAATTAATCAATTTTCGGCTTTTCCATTTATATCTCAAGTACTAGTAATCACATTTCACCGAAACTTAATACATAGATGTCATAGGACAGACCTGATTGGTTTTAGGATAATAATATTTGCATATTAATTACCTAATTTGCATAATTAACTAATTTTTAGCTTTTCCGTCAGTATCTCAAGTACATGTCATTTTATTTCAATGAATCTTGGTACATATATACTCTGAAACAATGCGATGATCTAATTAGTTTGATTAATGTTTGATTTGATTAATCTAATAATTGATCCATGTGCATAATAATCCATTTGGTTTATTGAAGTAATCCACAGATATGATTATCTTACTATGTTGGAAAACATACATATTGATTATCGAACTATGATTAGTCCATTTCTGATATCTCAAAAAATCAGATTAAATTGAATTTATCACAGAGGTGCTCTGCAATTAATTAGACGGAAAACCACAGACATAAAATCAAATGTATTTACTGTAAGCATTAAATGTAGATAGCAGACAAATATTAGTTGCCAAGCTTCTTGTTTCGAACGAGCCAACAATTTACCTTACTTCGTCCGACATAATCTCGCGCGTACTAGAAAAAAACGCGAATGGTCTATTCGAAAACGACAAAAGATAGAAATAACATTCAAGGGATTTTACTTATTGTCACTGTGCAAAATAAAGCAGGTAGGTCGTACATTGCTGACTTTTTAACTTAAAATACTCTTCAATGTATGTTTGTAAGAATATTATATATATTAAAGCCCCACATCGCTCCGCTTTGTGATCAACCGATTCGCCAACATTTCGTCTAGTGCGAATCAAGTGTGGCAACCAAGTCATGTTCGGTGGATGACACAAAATGGTACTTGCTTCCAACACCATGGTCGAGCGTTTAGTGGTCAGCGGGTGAAACTAAACGATAAGCGCTGCCAACATCGATTAATCTTCCAGGTTTTCAAACAATGTTGTCAATAGTTACGTATTTCCCAATGCGACACAGTCACGCATCCGTTATTTGAACCATAAACCACAAAATGAGAAAGACCAATATTTGTACTGAAATTTATAAATATTCACAAAGATGGAGAGAATGTCATTGTTGCACTGAGAATATTTAGACAGGGACATTTAAAGTGATTGAAAACATATTCTTACACCTTCTATATTAAAATGACCGTTATCCGACATAAGACGTCATCTGTGACGACTGCGCATGCGCCCGGCGTTCAGTTTATTTTCGTGTGTAGAGTTACAACATATACCCTCTAACAGGTTAGAGGGTCTATGGTTACACGTTCGAACTCAGACTAATTAGAACTAAGGTTTCAGTGAACTAATTAACATACTAGCTCAAACGAGGATGTATATAAAATTAAACCCGCTGTGAATTCCGCGAAGGTTTTTTTTTTTTAATTTTCCTAATATTCACTGCACCGATTCGCACTACTTAACGCTGTCCACAGCAGGGAATTCCCCGCGCACACTCGACAGGGAGTGTTTTATAGCTAGTACATGATTTATAGCCTGGTCAATATCCAGGGTGTCATTTCGTAAAAATATCCAAGTACATCAACCTACAACGCAACATATTACAACAACTTACGTGATACTCCACACGACACAGCGTCAAAGTCAATTCGAAGCAACGAACAAAATTGAATGATCTTGATTGGTTACTCAAACATAACGCATAACAGCTGGACCAATCAGATAGCTTGTTTGTTGACAATTTGTTTCGACGTGTCAAATTCTTCCTTGTATAAATGCTTCGACTCAACTTCAATATCATACCCATACTATTACCATCAGCAAAGACGTGGATACTTAGAGTTTCTGGCGTGACTTGTCCATGTTGCCCGGCACAGCGGAAACATAATTCCGTCTCCGGGGAACAGTACCGTTTTGGGACAAATCTCGATAAAATCTCAATGTAATGATAACTTTATGGACATTATTTATTTAATATTCATGTACCAGGTTTCGCACGGGAATCAAGTTGTGCGGTAATTTTATGCACTGCAAATCCGCATCCCGAGGGAAAATATACAACTATATCGTGTATATTGCATCATAGACAGTATAGTAGGATAGCATAATGGTGTTCGTGTGTTTGCTTTTGTCGGCCCGGTGATTAACCCCGCCCACTTTTATCAGTTGAGATTTTTCAGATGATAGCTATGATTTAAGCAATATTTGCAAACATTATGTACATTATATGTTTTTGTAAATATATTGAATCAATTTAGAACTGTTTAAACTGTTGTTGTTTTCAGTTTGTAGTAAAATTTTAGATAACAGAGCTTAGTTACGCCACAGCCGTGTACATACCGGCAAATGCGGGGGATACCAACAACCTACAAGTTAGGGTGCTAAAACAACCACGTACGCAGGGCTACTTGGCGGTGTTTATCCAGTTTCTGTATCTCATACATATATAAGTGCTGGGAATTCCAGAAAAAAGACAATAGTGTTTCTGTCTGCGTGGGTTCGTTATTGCCCTGCGCACCTATATAAAGAGCCAAATCTTCCCCATCGCCCACACTCAATGCTTACTGCGCCGCTACACACACTGGCGCTCTACTTAGACAGTCTATAAACTAAAGGCGGATCCACAAATACTCGGTACGTTCTTGCGGATAACTTTATAGTTGGCTCATTAATGTAAACCATCTGTTGCGTGTTGAAAGTGGAACACTCTGCCAACTCATCGAACACTTGCTTGTTTTTGATCGTGACACAATTCCCCCCAAAATATTCTAAAGCCATTTTTGTTCTTTAAGTTGTAATTAATTGTCATTTTCACTCTTATTAGGCGTACTATGGTGCGTTATAAAGTGGACGATTTCGAAGAGGATGCGATGGGCGAGTCCTTTCACCAGGGTACGATCTTGTCTGACTTGAACCCGTTTCGAATCGACAGCACCGGGGACCTCGAATTTGTAGCTGGTTTGGACGAAGAAAAGGCGCTTGGAAATGCGGAACCGATAATTCAGGTTTGTATTTTGTACAATTTAATTACGTTGGAGTGGTGTACTATAGAACCACTGTAATGTAATTGCGTGACAACTTAATAGACATCTGTGTTGATTTTGCGTATTACTAAAATACACAAATTAACCCATTCACCCAGAAAAATGATACTTCTTCAACGTGTACTTTGGGACGTCGCGGTTTTGAATAAGATATTTGGTTTACTAAAAGTGAGGTGCTATACAAATATAAATGGGCGTGCCGTACATACGTACTAACATAACAAGGGTCTACCGTACGAGACGAATTACCCAATGTGAGCCACATTTTAGAAAACTCCAAATTTGATCTTCAACACACAAAAAAAAAGATTTGTGGCCGTTTTTTCGTTTGACGTTTTTACTTCGGGCGACGACGATTTTCTTCCAAATACGGCGTGCCAAATAACTGTTATTACTATTTGATTGATCATAGCTTCTTCTCGAGTTTGTAGTATTTTGTTTTTTTGAAAACCAAAACTTCCCTCACTCCAGGGACGTACGAACACTCCTGAATGGTTTCACATCCACATTAAAAAAAAAAAAAAAATACTGAGCAATTCGTGACCACCTCCTATAAAATAAAGTTGATATATTCTTCACATTTCGTTTTTAATTATGTATTGCAATGTTTTCTGGGTTTAGCAACATCAAGCTTATACAATTCAGCATATTTACCAATTTTGTGTGGAATCGCCAGAAGTTCCCGTTGAAATGTTCCTGGTCGATGCGAGTCCCACGCAACTTATACAACGCATGTCAAATATTTTGTTAATTATGATGTAGCATAGACCTAAGAAAGCAATGTGTCAAAGTCTACGATTATAGACGATATGCGCTTGAATCTCACCGGCTCAAAATACTACGTCACGGTCAGGTTGTTGCTGAGCGTGCTATCAATCAAGACCCACTTTGTTAGCCGCTTATGAAATGACTGAGAACACTCCCGTGGCTCAATCGTAAAAATTCATTTTTTTGTACAAATCATTCCATGGTACAGGGATGACGAAAATAAAATAAAAAAGACTTGGGTCACGTTTCTCGGTTCAGAGAAAATCCATGGAGTTAAAAGAACTATGTTTTGTCATTTTACCATTTCTTGGGTTCAATGTACACGTTCGCGTCTATTTACGAAATATGTTTGCAACGTCACAGTCTATGAGAGAAACCGCCGTTGAATTGCCTAATTATGCATATTATTTGACAGTTATGCGCACATGTAAAATAAATATAGAAATAGTATCCCATACATTTCCACTGTCAGGAGTTCAAAATACAAAGCAGCGGTAGCGTCGTCACGATATTGGCATTTTAAGAATTCTCTTTAATCACGTCAATTGCTCGTAATCAGTATGTCCATTTCGTAATCAGTATGTCCATTTGGTAATCAGTATGTTCATTTCGTAACCAGTATGTCCATTTCGTAACCAGTATGTCCATTTGGTAATCAGTATGTTCATTTCGTAACCAGTATGTCCATTTCGTAACCAGTATGTTCATTTCGTAGTCAGTTTGTCCATTTCGTAGTCAGTATGTCCATTTGGTAATCAGTATGTTCATTTCGTAACCAGTATGTCCATTTCATAACCAGTATGTCCATTTCGTAGTCAGTATGTTCTTTTCGTAATCAGTATGTCCATTTCGTAGTCAGTGTGTCCATTTCGTAGTCAGTATGTCCATTTCGTAATCAGTATGTTCATTTCGTAACCAGTATGTCCATTTCGTAGTCAGTGTGTCCATTTCGTAGTCAGTATGTCCATTTCGTAATCAGTATGTTCGTTTCGTAACCAGTATGTTCGTTTCGTAATCAGTATGTTCATTTCGTAACCAGTAAGTTCGTTTCGTAACCAGTTTGTTCATTTCGTAGTCAGTATGTTCGTTTCGTAACCAGTTTGTCTTTTTCATAATCAGTATGTTCATTTCGTAATCAGCATGTTCGTTTCGTAACCAGTATGTTCATTTCGTAACCAGTATGTTCATTTCGTAACCAGTATGTTCATTTCGTAATCAGCATGTTCGTTTCGTAACCAGTATGTTCATTTCGTAACCAGTATGTTCATTTCGTAATCAGTATGTTCATTTCGTAGTCAGAATGTCCATTTCGTAACCAGCATTTTCATTTTGTAATCAGTATGTTCAGCTCTTTTTGACACAGTTATAGATAAGCCATTTTGTCATAATAGTTCCGTACGTTGCTTGGAGTCTCATACCGAATAGGATGCAACGACCGCTGCCCTTTAATAGTTTGAACAGTGGTCATAAATGCTTTGGGTGATTTTTTAATTTGCAATCAAAATTCACATTCCTAGATACTCCCCATTTTGAATATTATGATTTACAATGTATTGTTTAGGGGTAAAAGTCGTCAAAACCTTTTCACCACCGGTTCCATCTTTTCATCACAAATTCACAAAATAGTCACTTCAGAAGATTGGGACAAAAATAGCCAGCTTTTTGAGTAAAAATAGAAAATTCACTAAAATTTTGTCTGTTGGCTCCAAAATTAAGGTTCATTTCAAGAAATATTGAAGAATATAAGGAAAGAAAGTGCAGAAAAATTGGGGTCAGAAAGACATGTAGCGAAAAGGTTAAACTATTTTCTTTTGTAACCTTTAACCTTTCCCCAGTAGATTGTTATGAGTTAATAAATAAATAAATTGGCAATGAAATTTATTATAATATATATATACCCCAGTATATAAACAAAACGTTATAAAACACTCGAGTCTGCCGAAACCTAAGTCGACAGTATTATTTCCCTCATTTTGACAAGCGGAAAACAGGGTGATTATGTTGTAGTCGCTTACACAAGATCTGCTCACCAACCTCGCACCAAAGACGCGACCTTACTAGGGGGTCCGGGGCATGCTCCCGCCTAATATCTACACCCTGCTATTTCATGCATTTTGAGGGCAAATTTTGCTGACAAAAAGTGTTTCAGCTTTGGAGGGGCGACGCCCCCCCCATAATTTTTTTCATGGGGGCGTCACTGCCCCCCTCTGTCCTGGCAGATCATTTCAGTGTCGCACATGCGCAGAATAACAGAATAATCAGAAAGCACGTACAACGAAATAGGTAATTAAGTAATAGAAAGCCCACTGTGGTACTACTTCCACCTCCGGTTCTATTATTTAGTTTGCTTTAACTAGTTAGTGAAGTAGCCCCCCCCCCCACTTCAAATACTCATGCACCCTTTTTAACGTATTATTTATCTTCCAGGGTTCAGAGTGTGACCTCTTCTTGACTGAGTCACTACAGGATATTTTTAATGATATAGCTACAATTATAGGCGGCCCATACCCAGCAAGTAAGTGCTTCAATCTGATTAAAATAAGATCCTAGTTTGGGCTTTATTTTTTTTATAAAATATTTTATTATTTATTTTTATATACAAATACTTTATTTTTTTTTAATTTCTTTATTTTCTTGGGCATTCAATAAATGTGTACATTTCTAGACAAGACAGATTAAGACACTCTAACCGATCCATTAGAAAATGTTTAATGTTACTTTAAGTATGGTATTAAAAAAAGACCACTTCTTTTTATGTAATGTTTTTTTCTCCTTTGGTTTGGCAATTGGACTCTCAATTTAGAAAATGATGCTTTAGTAAATTCATAAAATTTGCATAGTTTTTGTTTCATTTCTTTTCTTTTGAATAGTATATATGGTTTTTGTGTCAATTGATAATCTTGTAACCATTTTGTACATTTTCATTCATTCATTTTGTAGATTTATTTATTTTTTGCAAAGAGCATTCACTTTTTGGCCTCAGAAAAATTTCACTAACGAGTTTTTTAGCTCAGCTGTTGACTTTGTCGAGCAGAGCTTATCATATGAGTGATTGTCCGTCGGCGTCCATAGTCGTCCGTGTCAACTTTCTACTTTTTCGACTTCTTCTTGAAAAGTAATTGCTTTGATATTACACATATAGGTACTAGATGTGGAACTCTCTCAGATTTGTTCATTTCATGATGATATCTTCAATTCTCTGATTTTGATGAATATTTTTGTAATTTTTGGTAAAAAGTGATATTTTCGACTTCTTGTTAAAAACCACAAGTCCAATTGCTTTGATATTATACATATACATGTAGGTACTCTCAGATTTGTTCATTTTGTAATGATATCTTCAATTTTGATGATACTATACATATTGTTCATTTTCTAATTTCAGTTCTTAATTGAAATGTGCATTGCTAACAGTGGAGCTATCTCAGCTGACAGGCTGTTTGTTTTAAGTACCGGTACATTTCTGTATCTACTGGTGCTGGACCATGTTTCATTTCCTTCATTTCATTGTATATCCCAATCCATTTTAGTTTATCAATCATCGATAGGCCCTTCTCTTTGTAGTTATTTCATAGTTTCATTTCACCATGGCAATACAAATACGATACAAAACTAATTCCCAATTTTCCACCTATTAAATTTACTTGTTGTTCTAGAAAATCAAATCTACATCATCTTGCATATCATGTCTGTCATAAACTCATTAAACTTCACTAAAAGCAGACTGGTGAAAAAAAGTTACATTGCATTAACATTGCTCCATCTAGCTTCTTTTATGATTTTTGCATTTTATGACTTGTATTATCTTATACATACAGTAAATTTGTTTTCAGTTGACATTTTTCAAGTTTGTTTTATAAATGGTACTTATGATTCCCATTTTTCTCGTCTAGGCCAGACTTTTTTATTCCTTGTTTCTCGAGTTTTTATAGGTCAATTTTTTTGAGGAGGGCGAAAAAAAAAAAATTCTTTTTTCCATTAGATTTGTGTGATTCTCAAAAAATTGTAAGTGAGATCATTGATCGGAGAGAAGAAATGAAATAAAATTTTATTGCATATATAACCTTGTTTCTCATCTGCACGAGACTTCGGTTCTTTGTTCACGATATTCCCACAAAAATGCAACTTGGATTTGTTATGCGGCGGGCGGTAAAAAAAATGAAGATAAAAATAATATTTCTTTGGCATTTTTTGGCGCTTACAAGTCGGCAGGTAATTATGCTGAAATAAAATTTTATTTTGATTTAATTTTCGGCTCCTGTTTATTCGGCGGGTTTGCCAAACAAGGGATAATAAAAGTCTGGCCCTAGCTTGTGTAATTTCTTTTTTTTACAAAGCATTTCCATGTACGAAATACCTCCCTGCTTATTGTATGTTTTATCCATAATATTCTTTCTATATTTTTCTATGTTTTTTCTCTGCATTGTAGTTTTGCAATATAAAGCTGTCCCAAAACAAAATTTGTCTACGCCGAAGGATTTTAAATTCCAATTCATTCTTTTCAGATATGTCAACCTGGTCATCCACGCTGGTCTCAGAATTCTTTAAATTTATAAATACAAAGTTTGGGTTGAGAAACTCCTTTCCAGACATTATATTGTTCCATGATGTGAATGGTGAAAAGCTTCTCAAGATGATAAGCAACCCGGAATACAATGAGATATTCGATGTACATCCTGATAAAGATGTCGTCATTGGTTACATCCAGTGCCTTACAACTGGTAAATATAAATAAGTTATGGGCAATTGAATTTGTAAAACGGGAAGGGGGGAGTTTTACCGTAAAAGCTCAATCAATTCGGCCACTCAAATAGTTCGGCCACCTATTTTTTGCGACATGGTTAATTTTAAAATGTATCCGTTTAGTTCGGCCATCTG